AATAGCTCTAAATCTAAATCAAATCTAAAGAGAATGTAACTGATCTATTTTATTCCATTATATATGTTAGATCATATTTTAAATATAAGCTCTTCTGCAGACTATGAGACTTTAAATGCACAGGTCAAGAACTACATGCCGACAAGTCTTCGGGTATTTCTGATAAATAATGAAAGGGCCAAGAAGGTTCTGCCTTAAACTGAATCTTGTCCTACAGCAATCAAATCTATAAAAAGACTCTGGTGGCTAATATGATAAATGCAAGGAAGAGCAATTCTCTTATTCACAAGCATTTCAAATTCATGGCACCATTTTCTGCTGATTCCTATTGTAAGGCAACTTTCTTTTTTAGCACTTAAAAATGTATACACACACACACACACACACACACACACACACACATTCACACACATTAGAGGTTCCAGAATAAAATTAAAACTTACTGGCACAGTCTGGCCATTCAGTGGAATATGGTGGTCTCCAGACACCATCTTCATAAGCACAGTAATACTTCTCAGTAGACCCTTCAGTGAAATCGTAGCCCTCCAAGCAACTTAATGTGCAGTTAACCCCAGCACTGTCTTGAACACATATGAAATCCCCATTTATAGGTGTGAATGGAACTTCGCAGGGAGAACCTGTATAAAAAATTGTATTATTCATATACAGTGGTATGAGAAATATAAATTAAATTCCAGGAGCTTAAGCTGAATTTTGAAAAGAACTCCTCCAGTCTACAGCTATTTCTAGAAAAACTATCACCATAAGTCCTTAGTGTGGGAGAGTGTCAACATCTGTTTTTGGTTCCTAGATGGGCATGGGCATATGTTGAAAAGTGGTATCTATATGTAATTAGAGGTTGTCCATATTTTATAAAAAGCTAAAAGTATTTATAATTTGGAGTTATTATTTTTGCCATTCCTTTAACAAAAATGAAAACTGGATAACATTATGAAGCAAATGCATTTTCAGAATCTGTTTTCTCAAACATTCAAAATAGGATTGTGACAATAATACATTGTAACCTTAGAGAAAATGTTAATAAAATGTTAATTAAAGACATTATTAGAAGCTGGGCATGGTGGCTCATGCCTGTAATCCTAGCACTTTGGGAGGTTGAGGCGGGAGGATGGCCAGGAGTTCCAGACCAGCCTGAGCAACATAGTGAGACCCCCGTCTATTGTCATAATACAAAAATTAACTGGGCATGGTGGCAAGCACCTGTAGTGTCAGCTACTTG